CGGACTTTATAAGAATGTGTTTCAATTCTGATGATATCAATATATTTTTTATTTTTTAGTTATGAATATATATGATGGCATATGCAAGATATTCCTGGACAGTCTTCTTGACTTAGTGTAAACTTAAGAATTCTGCAAGATTGCTTTCCAGCCGTGGTGATGTCAGTTATATTCTCTACGAAAGCTCAGCCTAGTTTTTACCAGAAATTATGATGTATCATGGATTGAGTTAACATGAACGTCGTATCAATGCATTACGACCTCAGAACAGCGGAAATCGGTCGTAGTATTTCGTTGATAGTTTCCTCTATTTGCTCACTCGTGATCTAGCTTTTACTTCTGTCTTTTGAATAATCTTTTATTTCTTGAACATTGCATTATTCACCTGTCTAGTTCTTTTTTATTCTTTAAGCTGTTCCTTTTCTTATGTATCTTGTTTTGTATATTTCTTAATTTTTAATGATTTTAGTTAAATGGTCTGCTGGATTCCGATGGCGAAGTCGATCATAGTCTATCTCTAAAAAATGGTTCTTATAAATCTGAGTGCTACCTCCAGCCGCCTGATATTGTAGGCTCCTCTATTGCTTCCGTTTCCATGACACATAATGTTGGGACCGTACTCTACATCAGTCCGGAAATATTGGCGGAACGTCATTGGCGAAGTGAAACAGGCCGAGGGCGCATTGCTTATGATGAGGTTGTTTTTTATTTTTTTTATAAACTCACTTCTTAACTACCGCTTGACGTTTCCAGATCATATCTGAGGCATATTTTTAGTAGGAAAACATTATTATGAAACTTCATTATTGACTACTGAAAATTTAATGATGCTCACAGATAAGCTTAATAACGATTAAGATAAATTTTCAGTTTATAAATGGTATATTCAATTTTTGTTTTATTATTCTTTACATTTTCGGAAGTTACTCAATTTTCAGCAATATAATTTATGTAAATTTTTATATAGTGATACAGCATTAAGAATTAAAAAATATTCTCTTGCTTGTCATAGATAATCCAAACGTTTTGGGATATTGATCTTTCTGTATCATTTGTTTTCGCTGTCATAAGAAGTTTTTTTATTGACTCTTATTTTACGATTATTCCTCTAATGATTATTTTAAATTTAATAAATTATGCATAAAGACTACATTTAAAATCGACCATTATCTAGGTGTTTAAAAAGATTGTAATATTTTCCAAGTTTGTCATTTTGCAATTACATTACAATGCAACTAAACGTGATCGTCCTTGTATGTCGAGCTGGTACCTAGGAAACCATAATTAAAGAGCTAAGGTCAACCCTCTGGTTACAAGCTTCCATTAGGACGATGATCTTTTTTTAATGGAGGTTTTCTTTGGAACTCTTTACCTTGTTACTATTCCTCATTTTTGTATCATTATTTGTAAACTTTCTCGATAACTGTAAACTAGGGAGGATTTTT